CACACACACACACACCTGAATCTGGCGTGTTCATATCGGCTAGAAGTTTCTTCTTGTTTATCTCTTAGTGGCCATCTCATTATTCGCTTTTTGCTGCCTGAAAATTGGTTGTACAGTTGTGTATTCAATAAATAAAAGCTGTTCATTATTATTATTATTATTATTATTATTATTATTATTATTATCAATAGGAAGTCATGGATCGGTGTCATCGTCGCTATAGTATGGTCTCAGAGCAGTGTAAACTCTAGCTTATACATTCAACAAAGATGGCAGTAAAATATGGTTGTTCCTGGACGAAAATGGTTTTCCAAGGGTCCACCACCACCACCGTCATCATCTCTATCACATTTCTATTGCAATGTTAGAAGCGGTTTTGTATGGAATCTATGACTGCTTTGCCCCATACAAACTGTCAGCTACTTCGTGTCACTTTTTCCCCCAGCTGGAACATGAGAATGTACCTGGCGTGGTGGAGTCTTTGAAGGTAATCACCCGGGAAAAATCGGAAAGGTATGCCAATTTCAGTTTCGTTACTAACATATATCGCCTTATCCTCAGATGTACCATTTTTTCCGCACCAAGAAATCAGTCATGTCGTTCACATCATACGGATTGTTGATGGTTTGCACTAATTGGCATCTTCATAACTAACCATCTGTTTCTCCCTGGTTTTCCCCGATCCCCAGAATTGCTCATTTCGCTTTCGATTATGCGATCCGTCATAATCGGAAGAAGGTGACTGCTGTCCACAAGGCGAACATTATGAAATTGGGTGATGGCCTGTTTCTCGACTCCTGCAGCAATGTGGCTAAACTATATCCACAGGTGAGTTTATCGCGCGTCCAGGTTTTGCATTCCACTGCTTGGTACAAGTTAAATAAATGCGTTTTTATTCACAAACGATTTAAGTGGAACTTCAAGTTAGAAAAACAGTGCATCATCCTAGTTAGAAATGATACAATAACTGTGAATGATGCTTATCGATGCACTGTCATGCGTCAGTTTTGGTTGCTGTCTCTTAAGTGCCCATTTGGATGAACAGTAGGAGAAAGACAGAAAAGTAAAAAGCAGAGTCGAATAGAAGAAAATGGAGAATTTCAGTGGACTAAGGGTGCAGAGAAATTGTTTACGACACTCAGCTATATCACTGAGATATCTCTAACCTCCGGTTACCATAACCTAGGGGGCCCTATCCAGGGAGTCTAACGCGATCTATATGACCAAGTTCTCTGGTTACAATTTTCATACCTTCATATCAAGTCCTAATTTGTCCACCCTTGACTGCCTGCTTCCGCAAATATCACTCGCCATGGCAACCCATTTGGTGCCATGCGTAACACATGCCCCAACCAACGCAATCTATGAAGGTTGGTCACTTGCTCCAGTGGGCGATCACATTTACTTAAAACTACGCCTATCCTCAGCATCGCTCGTCCGGTTGCCCCATCAAACTCGTACAATGCTGCGTGGACAGGGTGTTCAAACGCCGACAGGTTATCTTTATCCCGTTTTCTTAATGACCAATTCTCTGCATCGTATAGCAGAACCGGCTGAACTACGGCGGCATGCACTCACCGGATGTCGTGAGGGCGCCACAGGTGTCTTCAGTTGGCAAATGCCAACCGAGCCTTCTGTGATGCGTCCACCGGGTGAGATGTAACTGCCTAAATAACAAAAAATAGCTACTCCCTCGGTCAGAGTGAGGTTTGGGGCTGGGCCAACCCAGTCCTGTAGTAACATTTTACACTTTGAATGTGCAAAACGTATACCGAACATGGTTGCACTGGCATTCAGAAAAGCTTGCAACTTACCTGGTGTGTCCAGTGCAAAGTTTCCGACCTGTATGAGAGAGAGAAAAATAAGAGAAGTCGTTGCACCCCGATTTCTCGAAAAGAGCTATGTGATTTTCCGCTGCTTAGTTTGTACTTAAGTGAAGCATAGGCTTTTCGGTATGAATAAAACTAACCATTGATCCCTAATGGAACTTTTGGATGTTTACACTGTTAAAACAGTGCTATATTTTCATCCAAGAATGCACTCGTTTTGTGACTGCATTTTTGCGGTTTTTCATCCCCCCCACACATTTCCGATCCTCACAAAGACGAACACACACACTCCGATGCGATAAAATTGTTTTTTTTCTGTTTGTTTGTCAAAATGCAGATTGAATTTAACGCAATGATCATCGACAATACGTGCATGCAACTGGTCAGCAAACCGCAACAATTTGACGTCATTGTTTTGCCGAATCTGTACGGGAATATTGTGGGCAATATTGCCGCCGGTCTGGTCGGTGGTGCGGGTTTGTCCAGTGGCGTGAATCTGGGCCGGGACAATGCACTGTTCGAGATGGGCACGCGAAACTCGGGACGATCGCTGACGGGGAAAGATATCGCCAATCCGTGTGCTATGCTGCTCACGAGCGCGGACATGCTTGAGTATCTGGGTAAGTCGTGCATCTTTCCATTCGATGAGTTCTTCTCGTTTGGACCCGTTTGCCGTGAGTTTTTATCTGTGGTTACGCATAGGATTATTGACATGGATACACTGACCAGTTTCTTTTCAGTACGAGTTTGTTTCTGCTCTTGTTCGTTTGCTACAGGTAAAAAAATAGAACGAACAAAGTTTCAGGAACGAAGTTTTCTCTCTGTACGTTCTGTGTCCCGCATACGTTCCGTTTGAACATGTATGTGTAAGATAAACTCCTATTTGATAGTTACTAACTGGGAGTTATGGAACCTCCACTCGGCGGATCCTGATAAACCGGTAGCATAAAGAGAAAGAATCCCATTTTTTTTTAAAAAAAGTCCTCAATCCTGAACAGGAATAGTTCTTTTAAGAAGAATTTCCACGTGAATAAATCATGAGTATGGATTAGTAGGTAACATTAGCCGAAC